GGGGGAGTAATGTCATTGCTCCAAGGGACAAAATGGAACCAGTTCTGAAAAGTGTTCTGAGATCATTGGAAGACAGGTCCACCTGTCATAAGAGAAGAGGTTATACAAGCAGAATAATGGTGGGTAGGTAGTATTGAGTGGGGTCATAGTTGTAGAGTTGGAAGGGATCTTGGAGTCCATATAGAATAGCCCCTTATTTTGCAGATGGAGAAACTAAGGCCAAAGAGCTTCCCATTAGATTGTAAGCTCCTTGAGGGCAAGGACTGTCTTTAGCTTCTTTTAGTATCCCCAGCACATAGCTCAGTGCCTGGCACACAGTAGGTGCTTAATAAATGTTGAATTGATTGCTGGTCAGTGACTTGACCAGGATCAAGCAGGTAGTAAGCCTCCCAGCCAGGATCTCAGCCCTGGTCCTGTGCTTGTCCTAACACATCATATTGTTGCAGAATCTTAAACTGTCCGAGCTGAGAGAGACCTCAAAGATCTTCTAATCTAGCCCATTGCTCTCATTTCACAGAAGAGGAAACTGAGGGTCAGAGAGGAGAAGGAGCTTCCCAAAGGCCCCACAACAGCTTAGTGTCAGGACTAGAACACAGGTCTCTTGGCTTCCAGGCAAGGACTTTCTCAGAGCCTTGTCATCCTTGAGTTCTGACCCAAATCCCAGAGTCTGTACCTCCAATTCTTGCTTCTCACCACTGTTCTGTACTTAGTGCCTCTTAGGGGTAGGATTTTCTTCCCCTCTGGACTGTATGGAGGTCAAGGGAGGGAAGGAAGAGAACCAGAGAACCATAGAGTGAATGCCACAGTTCAGAAAACATCTAGTAACCTCACCTCCCCACTTTACAGATAGAACAACTGAGGCCTGAAGGGAGAAATACCTAATGTCTCTTTGAGCCTGAAATGCTCTGCCTTTTGAGGTGACTCTTACAAAGGAGGGGTCCCTGAGCCCACCCCATGCCCAGGTCATATGGGGGAGCAGGCAGGTAGGACGCACGTGCCATCGGAGCTGTTGCTGTTGGTGCTGCCATCGGTGGATTCTCGGCTCCCTTGACGTGTGACCCTGCTTCTCATCTCCACAGCAATTCCGGTCTCTGTGCTCCGCCTGATGTTACTCGGTAGTTTCTTGGTTCCACCTTCTAATGCACAGAGAGAGAACCCAGGCATGGATTTCTTGGGAGGGAGGAGGGAGCCACAATCACTGGGGGCCCCAGTGATTCCTGCTTGCCCCTCTGGGCTGAGGAACTCAGGATCCCAGCAGGCTGAGGGGAGAAGGAAGGAAGTCTTTAAGACCTCCATGGCCTTCCCCTTGATCCCTTCTTGGGAGCAAGGAAAGATGCTACCAGGAGAGGAGAGGGCCTCAGCCCCCATTTGGGAGAAGATGGGGGTACAACAGGAAAGTCTCTATACACACACAGAGAGACACCATATCTAAGACCTCAGTCCCAAAGGCCACCAGCAAAGATCAAGGAACTTAACATACCCCAGAATATGCCAACCCTCATTCCCACCCCCTACTCCACTCCAGTTTTTATTCCTTTGCCCAAAACTGCCTAATATGAGTTTCTAGAAGTCATGAACTCCCAGGTTTACCCTGTCTCCACCCAACACTATCTTTGAGGCCATAAGTGTCATACCAACACCCCACTGCCATCTGACATCATCACAAATCCCAATACCCCATTTGAGTCTGATACCATTTCCAGACTCGGTGCCCCATGATCAATACCCCACTGTTTGTCTGTTACTTTCATCTCAGACCTACAACTCTGTCTGACAGCATCTCAGAGGCCATCACTACTGGACCAACACCCTTCTCTGTGTGTGTGTATGACAATATCATAAACACCATAAACACTGAGATCAAGCACTTTCTTCTGCCTGACACTATCCCAAACTTCTATCCCCGGATCTATACCTCCCTCTAAACCTGATACCATCACAAAAGCTATCACCCTCCCCCCATCCAACATTCCTTTTTCCTGTCTGACACTCTTACAAACCCCTAGCTGGGTAATTTAGGGGCAGGTTGTTCACTTTTGGGGCAGCTAAGTGGTGCAGTGGACAGAGTGCCAGTCCTAGAGTCAAGAAGACTCATTTCTGAGTTCAAATCTGGCCTCAGAGACACTGGGCGAGTCACTTAATCCTGTTTGCCTCAGTTTCTTCATCTGTAAAATGAGGGGGAGAAGGAAATGGCAAATTACTCCAGTTTCTTTGCCAAGGAAACCTCAGATGGGGTCATCAAGAGTCAGACTGAATAACAACACTCACTTTTTTGGCTTTTGGTTTCCTTGTTTGTAAAAATTGCAGAGGGCAGAGAGAAGATGGATTACATGATCTCCAAGGTCTCTCTCTCTCTCTCTCTCTCTTTTTTTAGGCAATTGGGGTTAAGTGACTTGCCCAGGGTCACACAGCTAGTACGTGTCAAGTGTTTGGTCTGAGGTCGGATTTGAACTCAGGTCCTCCTGACTTCCAGGACAGTGCTCTATCCACTGCGCCACCTAGCTGCCCCTCCAAGGTCTCTTTCAGCTTTAAAATGCTGTGATCTTTTACTGAATACCATCACAGATCCCAATCTCCTTCTTGCCCTGACACAAACTACAGAAACTCAAAGTTAGAATAACAACTGATATTTATTGAAAAGGTATAAAACTTTTCAAAGTTTGCAAAGCAGCTTATTATTACCCCATCACCCATTTGCTATACACAATAACCTGTGAGATAGATATTAACACCCCCTTTTTACAGATGAGGAAACTGGGACTCAGAAACAATAAAGTGATTGCTCATGGTCACAAAACTATCATGAGTGAGAGGTGGGATTTAAAACTGGGTTTTCTTAATTCCATGTCCAGCCTTCTATTCACTAGGTCACAATTTAGATCTCTTAGAAAGGACCTCAGAGGTGTTGAATCTATATTCTACCCGTTTCAGGATCCCAAACGAGATCATCCGGCATCCATTTGAAGACCTCTAGTGACGGAGAAATTGCTACTTTCTAAGGCATCCCATTCCACTTTTGGACAGCTCAGATTTCTAGGAAGATCTTCCCTGCATTGAGTTTAAATCTACCTTCGTGGTCATGGTTTCTCTATCCCCATCCCTATCCCTATGCCCACTCCCCTCAAACCCCCAATAGCTCCTTGTTCTGTTCTCTGGGGCCAAGCAGAGCAAATCTAATCCCTCCTTCCCATGACAGCCATGTAAATACTGGAAACCAGTATCATACACCTCCTGTCTCACTCCCGTATTCTGTTCTCCAGCTTAACCATCCCCAGTTCTTTCACATCATGATCTCAAAAGGCTTTTTTCACTATCCTGGTTGCCTTCCTCTAGATGCTGCCCAGTTCATCAATGCCCTTACTAAAATATAGTGCTCAAGACTAAACAACAATATAGACACAGGCTGACAAGAGTAGAGAATGGTGGGATTACTGAATCACTTATTCTGGACACCACAGCTTTTAAAACAAGTATTAAACTACATTTGCTTTTTTAGCTGCTACAGCCCACTACTGATTTATATTGAGTTTGCAGTTCACCAAAACCCTCAAATCTATCTATCCAAGCCTGCCTTCCATCCTGTACTTGTGAAGTTTATTTTTGAGGTGTCAGATTTTTGCACTTATGGTTACTGAATTGAATTTTATTTGGTCCAATGTTATAGTCTGTCAAGATATAACTATTGTCCAATATGTTGTCTATCCTTCCTAGTTTTGGTCACCTGGAAATTTGATGAACATGTCATCTAAACTTTTATCCAAGTCAAATTCAGTCCCTTAGCCAGTCAGTTGGAGACCCACTTTCCTCTTCGATCCATCCTCCTCAGGAGCTGCTAAAATGAGACACCAAAAGCACAAGTCTGACCATGTCAGTACTCTGCTCAAGAAACTCCAGTGGCTCCCTATTGCTTCTGGGATAAACATACATTCTTCTGTTTAGAATTTGGAGCCCTTCACAATGGGTCTTCAGCCTACCTTTCCAGGTTTATTGACATATTATTGCCTTTCACCTGTTCTATATTTCTAGTCAAACTAAGTATATGTTCCTCATATATAAAATTCTATCTTCTTTCATAGCTGCTCCTCAGTGCCTTAAATGTTCTCCCTCCTCACCTCCGATGCTTAAGCTCAGCTCCAGTCACCTCCCACATGACACTTTTTCTGATCTTTCCCCTCCCTCACCCAGAGAGTCTCAAAATTATTTTGTATTTCCTTCTATGTGTGTAAATTGTTTTCTCCCAGTTAAATGTAAGCACTTAGAGGGCTTGAAATTTTTCTTCTTCCTTCTCTCTTCTCTCTCTCTCTTTCCCTCTCTTCTCTCTCTTTTCTCTCTTTTTTGTAACCCCATTGCCTAGCAAAAGGCCAGACACATAACAGGTCCTTAATAAATGCTTGATTTATTAAAACTGGTTTGGTGGTTAACATGCTGCCTTCCTGGGTCAGACCACTCAAGCTCTTTGGATCTGCCTGATTGGACTAGCGTCCAGCCCATATCTTTCCAATGTGTCCTAAAATACAGATAAACTAAAGCTTATAAGTAAACTCTATCTTACAGTCTGTCTCTCACCTACCAAATGAGTAAACCCTGCTACAACGGATCATCCCCGGACCAATACCCATCTCTGCCTGTTATCACCACAGCCCAGAAAGGTTGTGGGAAGGAGGAATGGAGAGGGAGTAGGGGGTCTTACTCAGCCCACTCCTCTGGGACAGACAGGACTTGGGGGGAGGGGGTCTCGGATAACAGGCTGTGGAGAGGAAACGCAGAGGGGGAGGGCTGGCTCCCCTTAAGACAGCAACTCCCTTCCCTTCTCCGCCTCCTTCGGTTGCCATGGTAACCTCCTCCGCATTGCAGAGACGCCCCCGCTCCTCCACAATCCCCCAGGCTGCCACTGTTGTGGGGGGGGGGGGAGAACGTTGAAAGGAAGAGAATGGGTTTGGTCCAATCCATTGGCTGTTGCTGGGAGGGGTGTGCGGGAATGGAGGAAAATTAACCACATGTCCACCAATCAAGCGAGGGAGGGAGGGGGGACCCAAAGGGAGGACGTTTACCTAGGGGCGTGGCCCACCAGGGGAGGGTCCCATGTACTGACATAAGCATGGGCGGGGTGTGGAGGGGCTCGGACACTCAGTTTAGTGGGGATGGTAGGGTGAGGCACTGCTTTGCCTGAGACGCAAGTGTTGGCTACCATGGTAACATCCTTCCTGGACAGAGAAAGCTCCCTTCTTCCTTCCCTCCCCCGGGATGGAGCCGTTATTGTCCGTTTACCTTCAGAATGGGGAGATTGGGGGG